TACATAGTTGCCAAACGCTTCTCAGGATGTGATCTTATGCTGCGGCTACACTAACGAGCAACGTCAATGCCCATAAACGCAACAATTATTGCCTTAAATTTAACGCGATAAAATGAGTGGCTACACTTGAACGGCCAACTTTGTTTCAATTTCAACGCCGCTGAACGGCGTTAAATTTGCCGTTGAACGGCGTTAAATGTTTCAACCGGGGAAGGACCACGCTCTCACAGAATACCAGCGTAAAATAGTAGCTTAATGCTGCTGTGTTTCGTATGGTGAGTGTAGAGAACCGGAGACTCTTTTTACTGGAAACGAGGCATTCCATCTTAGTCCTCACGGGTCGAGGATAGATGTAGATGTCTATGGCTATGGGCTACAGCATCCACATACCATCAGGTGGACTGTGTGCTTGTTTGTCACCCTATCCTATAAAATAAAAATATAAACAAAGAAAAAAAGAATACAAAGAAAAAGAAGATGGTGAATGCTACAAATGCACAGGAAACGTACACTGTAAATCTATTTGTGTTTTATTTTGTTTTCCCGCACCCAAATTGCACTAGAAAGACGTCCAGTGGTTTAAGCTAAATAATAAGACAAACGTAAATATATTTTAATGAAATAATAACTAATAAGCCAATCATAAATACTAGTCAAGTGCGAATTAGATACACGTACCCAGGGTTTCGTACCACTGTACACTATAAATTTTGACCTGCAAAAATTGTTTTTTTTCTCCTGGTTATTTTTCTTAGTTTCATACCGTAAATTAAAGTACTTGCGAAGTATTTTTTTTTAATTCAATTTCGAAAAGTTTTTTCATTACTCCACTCCATCGCAGCCATACGCACTCACCGTGCACAATGAGACAAACGTAGTGTAGTTAATGGTGGTTAATATTAAAGTTGTTCAAAAGGACTATAAATCAATAGCACGCTACAGACTACAAACTATAAATTTCTAGCGCGCTATTAAATAAACTATGTTATGGCGCGCTATTTATAAAAAAGTGTGTAGGAGGCCGGCAAGCGCGTTAAGTTTAGCAGCACGCTATATCTCGGAGCACGCTACATAACGTGTCGTTCATTGAATAGACCGCGTGCTATGTTATAAGAACATTATTTCGTAATAGGTCGCATTTTAGATTAAATTAAAATAAAGTGGTAAAGAGAAATCAATGAACGCTCTTTCAAACTTTTCAGGCTTATAACTTTCTATAATCCTAAAAATATTTTTAAGGCATGTACTTTTTAAAACAAAATAAAATTAATAATTTTTATTATAATTTATGTAAAGGTTATTTTAACCTTAATATAAATTATAAATCAATTAAAGGTGTATTTAAAAGTTTATTGATTGTATTTACAAAAATCAACTATTTACAAACACTATTATATACACTTTTGTATCTATATTTTATGTACATTTAAAAACATTAGTTAGGCTTCTTTTGTAGCAGACAACTGTGTCCTTTGATCACTTATAAATATACAGTATACACTAACTAAACAACGTCTAACACTAAACAGTTCGCGCGCGATGAATAGCGTGCTGCTAGATTAAATTTGCGTCACACGTCTACTCCCAACAGCGCTGCTGCTATAACTAATTGTAATTGCCACTCGATATGAATAGCGCCAAAGCGTCATAGCGCCATGGCGACTACTATCATAGCACGCGCTATGCGTTATGGAGAGATAGCGCGTGTTATGTAAGTAGTCGCCAAAGCGCTATTGCGCTATGGCGCTTTGGCGCTATTAAGTATTAATATCTAGCGGCAATTAGTTCTAGCAGCAGCGCTGTTGGGAGAGAACCTGTGACGTAGCGCGCTATTCATGGCGCGCGACCTAATTTAATGTTAGACGTTGTTTAGTTAGTGTATACCAGGAGTGGCGAACCTTTATGTATCAAAGTGCCATTTTTCTAAAGAAAGTTTTAATTAGGTAATAAACGTGTCGTAAAATAATTTTGACTTCGTGATCATGGGGAAAATAATAGTACTAAATACTATCTACTTAAAAATCTTTATTTACTACAAAAAATAAACAAAGAGTTTTGAGACATTTATTACTAAACATTACAAAATACATTTTGCAAAGTATAATAATAAATAATTCAGTTATAAGCGTAATTAAAATTAAAATAACATTAGTGTGACTTCTGTTGTATTGAGATTAGATGACAAATATGTAAGTATGTTATAATGGGGTTGTGAAATCCTAAATGTAACACAAATGAATTTTAAAATACAGTTGTGTCAAAAAAAATTGACTAGTATGATGCTATGCGTAAACAAACTATGCATTCCTTGGAGGAGGCGTGGACTTGTGATCGTGGATAGTGAACTTTGTAGTCGGTGGCGTGCCCAAAATATTGTGTCGCGTGCCATTGACGGCACACGTGCCATTGGTTCGCCATCTCTGGTGTATACTGTATGTTTATAAATGATCAAAGGACACAGTTGTGATAAAAGAAGCCTAACTAATGTTTTAAATGTAAATAAAATATAGATACAAAAGTGTATATAGTAGTGTATGTAAATAATTGATTTTTATAAATACAATAAATAAACTTTTAAATACACCTTTATTTGATTTATAATTTATATTAAGGTTAAAATAATGTTTACATCAATTATAATAAAAAATAATTAATTTTATTTCGATTCTAAAAATAAAATTAATTCTATTTTAAAAAGTACATGACTTAAAAATATTTTTAGGATTATAGAAAGTAGTAAGTCTGAAAAGTATGAAAAAGCATGCATTGGTTTTTCTTTACCGCTTTATTTCATTTTAGTCTAAAATGCGACTTATTACGAAATAATGTTCTTATATAGCACGCGATCTATCCAATGAACGACATGTAATGTAACGTGCTAAGAGATATAACGTGCTGCAAAACTTAACGCGCTTACCGGCCGGCCTCCTACACGCTTTCTTATAAATAGCGCGATATAACATAGCGTATTTAATAGCGCGCTAGAAATTTATAGTTTATAGTCTGTAGCATGCTATTGATTTATAGTCGTTTTAAACAACTTTAAGTGTAGTGTAGCCGCTTCAACGCGATAATTCCTTTGATGTACCGCCACTCGAGTTATCGGTGTCAAATTATCGCGTTAATTCGTGGCCACACCTACATTCAACGTCGATCAACGCGATAATTAACGGCATTTCTCCTTAGTGTAAGTGCAGCATATGGTATTGATCCAAGAGGCCGGTAAAAAATGGTTTAATGTACTTGACCCGACGACATAAAAGTTGAATGAGGGCATCGATATTTTTTTGCCACCAGGGCGGCGCCACTTAGGAACGAGGTGTAATATTTGACAAATTAGATGGCAGGGAAGTTAATTTGTTGGGAAAATGTAAAGGTTAATGTTCATTTTTGTAACATTAGTAATATTTTATATTAATTAGATTAAAATGAATACTTAAACCAAACTACAGATACTGCAAAAATTAGAGAAATTAAAAAATAGATAAAAAATTTGAAATACATTAAGGAACAAACGTCGGAGGTATTGTTTTATGTATTTATCTAATACTCTAGAAAGCAATAAAATTTTATTTAAAATGCAACTTCTCAATTATAAGATTTAAGTACAAGACATAAAAAAACTTCACCTCAATCGAAAAGGAAAGATTATTGGCCACAACCCACAACTAGCAAATCACAACCGGCCAATGCGTTAGTTCCATACGCGTGTGGCTTACGCCTTAGTTTTAGCTTCTACCTAGAACTTAAGATGTTTTCATCCTTTTTTATACTTCTTTGCCTAGAACAGAGGAATTTTGAACCAGTGCTATTAGCTGAAAGTTAAAGAAATCTCATAAAAAGCAAAATAAATAAATATCCAATGTTACGTAATATTCAGTAAATATGTCAATGTTTTAAAATATCTTTGGCCAGTGGCGGATTTACCAGCAGGCTTAGTAGGCTGAAGCCTAGGGCGGTAGACATTTTGGGGCAGCAAATTTGAGTCTAATTTTTTTATGTCTTACACAAATTAAAGAGAATTAAATTTTAGAATCAAAACACCTTTTAGTTCCTTGCTCACTATTTAAATTAAGTGACACCTGTGACTACTGAATGTTACACAGAAACTTGTCGCTCCTTTATATTGTTTCAAGAAATCTATGTTTTTTTGTAAGTTCAACTCAACGCTGGCAAAATATAATGACTTAAGAAAGGGAAAACGTTAAAAAGAGTAGATCTCACACGTTGGTTAGTTAGAGTGGATGTATGTGGAAGTTTGAGAGATTCTTGGTACGAAGTCCATAAAACTTTGGAATTAATCAAGGATGATATAATATTATAATAATACCGAAAAGCCCGTAACGCGAAACAAAGCGACAGAAATACTTTTGAATTTAGAAGAACTGAAACTACGGTAACAGTAGTGTAGAATGTTGAAGTGAATGTTCAAATTCAGGTTTCTATCGTAGATTCGATCATTTCGAATCTCTTTGCAAGTTTTTCGTAACTGAGCGAGAAAGTTTTAAATATTTCGAAGAAAATGCAGTGGAATTATGTGTGTCGAATCAGTATACAAAAGACACGGGGAAAAAGACAACCTAAAACCGACTCAGCTCAGTTAAGATTGCACAAGAAATAGTTTCTGGGTAAATAATATACCGAGAAACTATTTCTTGTGCAATATTAACTAAATCTTTCAGTTGTAAAAGTAATCTAGGAACTGACACATCGATCAGCTACTTCATAATCGTTATTCATTATAGCAAAAAGTAGGTGTAATTAGGACGATAGTGCGGAAATCATAAACTTACAATTACATTGACAAAAAAAATCGTAATGTGTAATATGATTGTTAACTAGGGTATCGAATTGTAGAAGTCGGTAGTGGCGGCAAAATAATTTTTAATAGCCTACTGGCGGCAAATGTGTGAATCCGCCACTATCTTTAAGAATTTATTAAGTTTGTAATTTTCAGAACAACTCTACAACTTACTAGCTAATCTGACTCTGCATAGGTACTAGTATGCCGAGTCATATGCAGAGTAGCTTGTTGCAGAGTCAGAGTAGCTTGTTGCAGAGTCAGAGTAGCTTGTTGCAGAGTCAGAGTAGCTTGTTGCAGAGTCAGAGTAGCTTGTTGCAGAGTCAGAGTAGCTTGTTGCAGAGTCAGAGTAGCTTGTTGCAGAGTCAGAGTAGCTTGTTGCAGAGTCAGAGTAGCTTGTTGCAGAGTCAGAGTAGCTTGTTGCAGAGTCAGAGTAGCTTGTTGCAGAGTCAGAGTAGCTTGTTGCAGAGTCAGAGTAGCTTGTTGCAGAGTCAAAGTAGCTTGTTGCAGAGTCAGAGTAGCTTGTTGCAGAGTCAGAGTAGCTTGTTGCAGAGTCAGAGTAGCTTGTTGCAGAGTCAGAGTAGCTTGTTGCAGAGTCAGAGTAGCTTGTTGCAGAGTCAGAGTAGCTTGTTGCAGAGTCAGAGTAGCTTGTCGGAAAGCGGGTTTGCAACTGTAGTTTCTTAGTTTAAGTCGTTGTTAGGGACATGATGCTGCCCTTCTCCCGATACGTTTCCCTCTGTCGCCTCTTACAACACCCACGGGATGATATGGGGTGGTGGGATATTCTTACGCCCCCACTTCACGGCAACCACACGGTTACTTGCTGGCTTGCTGCAGCGCCGCAGACTAATTAAACAACAATTCAAATTAGTAAAAAAATTCCAATCAGTGGGATGAAAATACGCCGTAACTTTGTTTCGGTATATTTTTCATGTGCATTGAGTAGTTGCAGATCCGGTTAGTCTGTGAAGTTTAGGTTCGTTATTGCTGGATTTGAGCCGTGGTAGCTCAGATGGTTAGCGCTCGGTAAATTTCACAATACGCGAGAAAACCGGGTTCGATCCCCGCCGGCACCAATGAAATAGTTAATTGCAATTTTAAGTGCTGATTTACCACGTGCTCGGCGACGAAGGAAAACATCGTGAGGAAACCTGCATGTCTGAGAAATAAGAAAAAAAAAAACATTTCGAAGACATGTGAAGTTCGCCAACACGCATTGGGGCAGCGTGGCGGACTATTCCTTGCCCTAAAACCCTCTCAGAAATGAGAGGAGGCCTGTGCCCAGCAGTGGGACGTATATAGGCTGTAACTTTACTTTTTTTAATTGCTGATATTTTCAGTCGGTCGGCAAAGTTTCTATCGTCAAACAAATGTGTGCAGTTTAGCTAGTAATTGGAGAAGATAAAAATATTTTTACTCCAATAGGTAAGTTAATATTTTCCGATCTTTATATTTGGCCAACTCAACTTTAGTAACCGGAATCCCAAATTCCCCCACATCAACAGTTTGGTTTGATTTATAAGTTTAAAAAAAGTAGTTACATGCTAAGACGTAATTAGGCTGTAAGTTACTGCTGATCACAGTCCTCATTTCTAAAAGGGTTATAGAGGTTTAATACCTGCAGCTAGGTTATATAGCCGCAGCATGGCTCTATCACGTAAAGTATCATCTTCGAAATACTTTTCTTCCTCAGACATGCAGGTTTTCTCGCGATCCAATGATTAAGCAAGCGGTCACAACATAAAATAAACGCAGATGCGACAAAAAATAATTCGAACCCCAATAAAATCGTCACATCCGATTAATAATAGCATCAACTATTATACAAATTTATATTTTTGCTTTTTATTTAAGTCTTCGTCACTTTCAATAAAGACCCTACTTTAGTTATGTCAGTGTATTGTTAAAGTAGTTTCCCCTCGACAACGGATCGTACAGCTGCTAAGGTAATGGGCGACTTACCTTTTGCTTTAGCTATTAAGTTTTGCGGCATTTTATCCTGTACTTGTAATATGGAAAGGATGACAGAGTTTTATAACATTTAATTTATATTTATTAATTTATGAATTGGTTAGAAATTTCTTGAAAATTATAATTTTTACGTTTACGTTTATAATTTTAATGATTGATTAATGAAGATTATGTTTTAAAAAAAAAAAAGAGTTGACGATCGTAGAGCCAGGCATCCCAAACCGATGCCTAACAAAAAAAAAAAAGGTTTTACGACATCTATTGAAGGAGGGGACAGAATTTCGTCATACATACCACAAAGCCTGAAGGTGAGGACGATCGTCTTGTTATACCTATTATTTATTCAATTAAAATTTATTCTTGTAGACTTTAAACAAAGCACGTATATACGTCAACAATTTTAAAGCATACATTTACAAAATGAGATTATAGATGTTCAACTGAAAGACGTTAAAAGCTTTTACTTAAAGGTTTTTGCATTTTCTTTCAGTCAGCTTACCGTCTGTGCCTGTGCAGTCAACCCTCAAATAAATATCTCAGACATCTGCGTTTTGATTCTTAATGGAGGATAATTGTAGATGTATATGGATCACAGCATCCACTTACCATCAAGTAGATTGTGTGCTCGTTTGTTGCAAATATTCCTTAAAAAATCTATAGAGTAATAACAATGTGCAAAACATGACGCTTGTCAGTATCGTATTCTGATCTGATGAACATATTATTTTATTATAAGAAAATAGGAAAGTTATAGCCTATAAACGCGTCACGGACACAGACGCCTCACAGACCTCTTATTACTAAAAGTGGCGGTGAAAAAAAAAATGTCGTGGGCAACCTCCATGTCTAAGTACAAAAAATATTTCAATGATGTGTGAAACATAAAACTAATTCCCTTCAGCAATGAAGAGACCTGTGTCCGGTAGTGGAAATAATTTAGGTAAATACTCAAATGCTACTTAATTTTAAGATGCCGTTAATTCTCGTGGTAACTTAAAGTGATAGAGACAGAATGAGACTTAACGTCGTCTTAAAACTGAATAGAGTTTGAGTATTTCGGCCATTGATTTATATATATTTATATTACGAATCCATTAATGAGCAGCTTAGTACGACGAAGATAGGAAATCTCAAATTCATTTTTTGTCTTAGTTTTCTTTTTTAATTGTAGACAAATATTAAGTCTTCGTTATCTAAAAATACCTCTGTGCATGAAGTTTATTTGTCTGATCATAGTTTGAAGGCATAAAGCTGAAATGGTAGTAGGTCAGCCGTATGCCTCAGGCCTCGGATAACTAACAACCAGTGAGGTAGAAAAGTTTCCAAACCATAGCCTCAAACCATCGAATACAATTTTTATTGATCACGCATAGATAACGCAAAGCAATTTTTGTCATTATAAATCGTTCTCGTAGATTCATTCTTTGCGATTCTTGCTTTAAAAAAAGATATTTATAAACTAATATAATTAATTGTATTATTTCTTTGAAATTTTATATATTATGTTTGTTAGTTTCATTATTTTCAAACCCTATGTAATATATTAATATACACAAATGACCTCGGTTTTTAGCATACGCACCAAATAGCAGACGGTCCGGTCCAAATTAAAAAGACACCACTGTATCTGTATTTTGAATTTAATTTGCGAAGCGTGCACTCACGCTTGGCTGGCGCGTATATTAGCCATTTTTAAAGTAAGGACAGAAATTTTCGTTTTCACTATTAGGTATTAAAATGTATCAGTGACAGTCTAAACCAGTAAAGTGATTTTATTTTTAAAATATGATATTAGCGGATAATATGAAATTTTTAAAATAGTTGAACGCACTTTAAGCATGACTGATACTTGTAGAATGTAGTTATTAGTTATTATTAAAGAATAAGGACGGCGAAACTTTTTAGGTTAATTTGAATTTTAATACTTGACGTACTTAGCTTACTCAAGATGGCGTGTAATAATAATTATCAGCTTTTCACCTCATCGTCTCAATTTTCGGAGTCATCAAGGGCTTCGTTATGCAATTTTGTTGTCAAATCGCAATTATATGTGCAATCAATATAAATATAATTTTCAACGTGGGACCTGTCCGCTAAAATTCTGTAGCGTGTCATTCTTATCGACGAAGAGGCAGAAGCAATGCATTCAGCGAACTTACTTTAACTAGCCCGGCACAGTCAGTTCTCAGTTCAGTTTAGTCGGTGGTGGGACGGTTATTGTATTAGAAGGGTGTGCCGTCCGACATTTTGTTAAAAGTTACGCGTGTGAACTTTATGTCAAAGTTTTGTGTTATTATTTTTGATTTTGTGACACATGTTACATGTAAGTACATAAAATTTTCATTTATAAAAAAATCTACTATAATTTATCACTTATTAGTTACAATATGGACGGCCTAATTTATAAAAAATGTTTTCTAAAATTTAGTAATTGAAAAATACTTTTTGTGGGAAAATATAACATATAAGTTTGAGCAAACAGTTTTAAAATTAATAATATTTTTTGTGAAGGGTAGCGTTAAAAAAATAACAATGTTTATTTTTTATAATTTTAGAAATATAGAGGGAAGTGAAAGTTATAATAAAGATTGACTTGGTAAATGAATAACATGAGGGTAATTGGATAATAGTTATTTTTATTTTACTCACAATAGAAATATTTCAGGTTTCAAAATTTGTAAATATTTAAAATTAAACTGGCAAGTTTCTACTTGCAGACAAAAATATGTTTATAAAATAGGACACATGAATAAAAGGTGTTATAATATAGTCCTTCCAGGATCTAGTTCGAAATAGTAATGCGATAATATTTTAGGTCTTGTAAGAAAATTTTATACTTCTCTGGGTCTGTTATGAAAAAAAAAAACAAAGCGTGTCCCGCACGCGCCTATCGCTATCCCTATCTCTATCGCGTGTTCGTTCTTCGGACACCTGTTTACTGTTTATTTTCTTAAATTATACAGTACTCTTACTGCCTATGTAAGTAAAATAGGCACATCTATATCTTTTCTAAAAACTTCTTGACTGTATACTCGGAACATTTGCAAAAAGTGCATCGTCTAATATTTTAAACCGACTTCTTCAAAAAGAAATAGGTTCTCAATTCAATGCATTTACCGATTGTGAATTGTTTTCTATTGAATAGATATATCTTGAGTGTGATCTCAATTAAATTTGCAGAATTTCTACTGCGGGTAGAAAATCGGGGACGAATTTTTTCATGTACTTACCTATATAACAGATATCTCTGTTAGTATAATAGTTATTGTTTAGTGTTTACTCGAAAGGCACAGGGTGAGACAATTGATTAATTAATTTAGTCCTATAAACTATTAAATAATGTAAAAATATTTTTGTTTTTTTTTTTTAAGTTGGTTGTAACCTTTTTAAATCTTAATTATTATAATTATTAATATTTATTTTCATACGTGGTAAAGCCACGCTGCAGCTATATTATGGTTGTAGCACGAATGGGTCGGCTCGACCGGAGAGCACCACACTCTCACAGAATACCAGCGTAAAATAGCAGCTTGATACTGCTATGTTTCGTATGGTAAGTGTAGAGATCCGGAAACCCTTTTTTACTGGAAACGAGGCATTTGCATTTTCATTGATGATAAATGGGATGTCTGTGGGCCACAGCATCCACTTACCATCAGGTGGACTGGATCGGCTTTCTCCTTTGCGGCATGGGCCAGT